GGGGGGGCTCCGGCGCCTCGGGGAAGCTGTGGTGCTTCCTCTTGTGCTTCTTGTGTTTTTTGTGTTTGCGCTTGTGAACGCTGTGCAGGCTGGAGCCGCCCTCACCTGAGAGGAAGAGGGGAGACACAGATACATCAGATACAAGTGTGTTATCTATTTCATTATAGTTGTTATTATTGACGTTACGCCATATCGGTCAAGAGGAAGTATATGGAGCAATGATTTTAGTCCTGAACAAAAAGAGTACATTTTGAACAAATTATCTAAAATGGTAAATGGACTGTACTTATATAGCGCTTTATCCAGTCTTTAAGACCCCTCAAAGCGCTTTACATACTACATGTCATTCACCCATTCACACCCATTCATACAGAGCAGTGTACCTTACTCTAGGACCTAACATTCACACACCGTTGGCCATGCCATCGGGAGCAACTCAGGGTTAAGTATCTTGTCCAAGGATACATCGACATGTTGACTGCATGGGCTGGGATCGAACCCACAACTTCTGGTTGAAAGACGACCACACTCCCTCACAGCCACAGTCGCCAAACATTAGCTATGTGTGGTTTTTCATTGGTTTGGCTTAAGCTTCACACATTCTCCTCTATTTGTGAAAGTACATTTGTTCACCTAGCGTATATATGAAATATGAATATAAAATGTGCTCCACATCTTTGGACAACTGGTGAAAACGAATCCAATGAACTACAAACTGAGAGTCTGTTTTAATTGTCATCTGAGAAATGTAGTGACTGAGAAAGACTGTAAATGCCAGTACTGTTATTTACTCACCGAGGAACCTGGGGTGAATCATATCTTTCCTTTTCCCCATTGAAGCGGCAACAGGGATGTAAACACGGAGAACAGCAGCCAGTTAGCAGATCTACATGGCAGCAGAACTTATCTGCAAAACTGAGAGGAAAACACACCTGATTACCAGAGGTGGGAGAAGTACTCGGATCTTATACTTGAGTAAATGTAGAAATACCAGACTGTAGGAATACAGTACAAAATAAAGAGTAAAAGTATACTATTACCCTCTGAATCTTAGTGGAGTATGAGTTCAAGCAAACAATTAAAACACTCTAGTAAAGTACAAGTCTGTCACAAAAGTAGAGTACTTGAGTGAATGTACACTTTACACTGCTTATTACTGAAATCGTTACATTAAATCGATTTAAATGCATGTACATATTCTCTATTAGTTGAGTTAGCTAAGCAATAACCTTATATTTAGTCAACTGTATAAGATTAGCTTCAAAGAGTTAGCTTTATCCTTATTTAGCCATGTGATCCCTCATCACATAAGCTAGCATACATTCAACGTAAAGACAAGCAACAACATTTACCATTTTGAAAGAAATCCCACGCTGCAAAGCTGAGGCGAATTGACCTTTAACTGATATGAACTAACAGTAACGGTACCTAACAATCATTACATTATAATGATTTAGGCGCTTCATAACGTTGTTAGTATACCAGTAAGCACACCTAAACTAAGCTAACAACACGGAACTTCATCTTCTTCGTCATTTCCGGTCATTTTGAGATCCGCTATACTGCCTCTAGTGGAGAAACGGTCAAACAAGAGCGAGACTTCACATCGGTAAGGATCTACATCAATTTTCTCTGTTAGGAATTAATCCAACTCAAATTAGTTACATGAAACTTACCCGAAGAATATAACATCAAAAAGTTAAGCGAAGTTATTGAACTGTTTTAGTTGTGTATTGTTTTTTACATCTTGGAGGATTAGTTAACTTTGCAAGTATCGCGACATGACCACTGTAGGTCTCGGACAAAAGGTGCAGGGTCCGGTCAAGCCAAGTTACGCAAGGTTAGTTTGCAGAAAGCGCAACGTGATCGAGTTAATACCTTTATTAGTGTAACTTTAAGACATGTATCGAGTGTAATTTGTATGCACCTCGGCACTGCAGTGTCCCAAAAACAGGTTGCTCAACTGGTGCTTTTTGGGCTCACTTTTACGGAGTTTCTTTATAACATGAATCTAATGTGACAGTGCTGCTGGTCTGTAGTACAACAATAGTTATTTATTTCAAGCAAGTTAAAAGTGGGAACTATTTGATATCAAGTTAACTTGGGTCACAACATAATAATACGCTGATTAATGTTTTCAGGCTTCCAGCAACATGTGGAGGCTGAGGAAGTTAATGCAATGTATTTATATGTGAGCTGTGAGGATGAATATTTCTGATTTCTTAATTCTGAAGGATCATGAATTACGCTCGGTTTCTGACAGCTGTCAGTGCAGCTAGAAAGCCCTCCGCCATCAGGATGCTGAGTGAGTATTTTTAAATAAACACGTGTTTTAAATGTGACACTCGTTTCATAGAAAATATGCAGAAAATGTTGTTATCTAGTGAATGCATGTACAGGCTTACCTGCTATAAGTTTAGCAGTGCAGCCCCTATTCACTGGTTTTGAACTGTGGGTAAATCACTTTGGGATACTTTAAGGGAACAAATATGACATTTTATTTGTTGATCACAAATCAAATAATTCTAGAAGAAATGTCACATTATTCGATGTCACTCCTATTAACCTGGCCATACACACAGAGCCAAATATGCTTTAAAACACACCTTATATGTATATCAAACGGGGGAAATGATTACGAATGTAGATTGCTAGTAAATCAGTCCCTCTCATCCATCGCTCTGCCTGTAATCAGCTGAGCTGCAGCAGCGGTCTCCTCCGACTATGATCTCTTTGGCCGGAGGAGCTCCAAACCCCAACACCTTCCCCTTCCTGTCAGCCTCCTTCAGGCTGAAGGACGGACAGACGCTCAACTTCGACGAGGCGCTGATGAAGAGGGCTCTGCAGTACTCTGCCTCTAACGGGTGAGAGAATCTCCAGAACAAAAACAGACACATTACTTTAGAGTACATCAGAAAAGTGTGCAGCAGCAGGTGGAGGTTATCATTCAACAGTTGCCTCTTTAAACTGTGTCAGGCTGAAATATAATGTTCATTTAACCTAATGTTGATTTTTCGTTTTTAGGTGAGACGTTTTTGCTATTCCAAACACAATATACGTACAGTATATCTACTCAAACCTACCCAGCAACAGCACCTAAAAGTGCTTTTATAAAAGTATAATTAACTGGACTGACAGCATTATAACAACATGTTCAGTTCTGGAGTTAATGTTCATCACTGTGTAGAATCCCCGAGCTGCTGACGTGGATGAAGAAACTGCAGAAGGACCTCCACAACCCTCCGAGCCCGATGGACATGTGTGTGACGACGGGGAGCCAGGAAGGGCTCTGCAAGGTACCCACACCACCTCTACTTTTTATTCCATATTTGATTCCATTCCATTGCAATGTAAATACTGTTTTATTATATTTTTTATTATTTTTGTAGTTCTCTACCCGTGTTTTTAATTCTTGTTTTACTTTTATGTATGCACCACGACACCGAGTCAAATTTCTCGTACGTGTAAACCGGCCTGTTAATAAACCTGATTCTGTTAGGACAGGAATGTGAAAACAAATGAAAGCCAAAAGCCTGTGGTTCTTCCTCACCGCCAATCAGTTGTTGCCACGTCAAAGAAAGACGTTGAATGCAGGAGGATCAACAGATTTCCTGAGGCCCACACTGGGGAATTTAAGCTTCAACTATCGACATACTGGCAACACTAGTTTGACATCCACATAAAAAGTGACAATGTTGTTTTTATGACTTGTTGTTTACCAGTTGTCCTTTAACTTTCTCTACTTAACACTTTTGTATCAGTTTAAAATGTCCTGACTGTTATATATTTGATAAGAATTGCATATAAACTCATTTTGAAGTGATGGTGATTCAGATGTTTGGGGTTTCTAGGTGTTTGAGATGCTGGTCAACCCTGGAGACAACGTCCTGCTGGATGCTCCCACCTATTCAGGCACATTAGCAGCGGTGAGAGAATACTTTATTTCTTTATGACTACACACTCCTACAGCTGCCGTGACCCTCTTACCTTTTGGTTTTCAGCTCCGGCCTCTGGGTTGCAACTTAATAAACGTCTCCAGCGATCAGCACGGCATGATACCTGCGGCTCTGAAGGAGGTTTTGTCTCGCTGGGACCCCTCAGAGGTCCAAAAGCCCGGCAGCACCGCGCCCAAGATCCTCTACACCATCCCCAACGGAGGAAACCCCACCGGTGCCTCCATGACGACACAGAGGAAGCAGGAAGTGTACGAGGTTTGTCTTCTTCTACAAAGTCACACATCACAGCCTCATTTAGATTTGTAATATGACTCCATGTTCACACGGCAGATGGTTAATGACTCACTCTTCTCTGATTGATGCAAAGTGGCCGTTTGAGCGCTGACTCAGCTGATTAGAGCTTGTCGTGAAGCTGATTTCCCTGCAGATTCACTCAGTCGTTTTTTAATGAGCGTCCCCCGTGTCGTTAATAGCTGGCCAGGCAGTACGACATGCTGATCATCGAGGACGACCCGTACTACTTCCTGCAGTTTGACAAGGTACAAAGAGAGTTCCCTCACATCAAGTGTTTGGGAGAGACAGTTCATTTCCTCACATTTAAAAAGGTGAAATAATCAGTCTGTGTCTTCTGTGGTCTGATCTTAGCATACAGGCTGTACAGAGGAGCCCTTTTTAAAAAAATATTTAAGTCTTCCATTGAGATTTTTGGAACAAGCTTTGACTACAAGTCGTTATATTTTACGACATCCAACCCATTAAGTTTATTGACTTTTTTTTATATCGGTGGAAGCCTCACTTTGTGTGCAGCAGCCGAGCAAACCGTTTCTTAAATGAATTCAAACTTGTTGTTTTAGGAAAGCTTAATGCTATGTACTAGGGATTGTAGCAGAATGTTTACTTAGACAAAAACATGTGGTTATTTTTGGGAATGATTCCATTTTCTTTTTTGAATGGATTTTGGTCTTTAAAGTATGATTTATGATGCGACTCATTATTCTGCAGCCGTGGGCTCCCTCCTTCCTCTCCATGGATGTTGACGGGAGGATCCTCAGGACCGACTCCTTCTCTAAGATCCTGTCCTCGGGGTGAGCGTCTCACTCTGTGTTCAAACCCAGAGCGTGTGAAGCTCTGCTGTTCAAATGTTTGTTTCCCTTAAAGAGTCAGGACCTGAATTACAAACAGGATGTGTCGCTCATACGTAGACTATGGGCTAATGGGGGTGTCCTTCACAGTTGTGCACATTGATTCCAGTTATATGATATATTTTTGTACCTCAACGTTTATGTATTTTAGTGTATATTTACAAAAACGACATTATCTATTTGTTAATTTGCCTCTAAAAACAAAATGTTAACATACACGTCCTTTTACAAATACACCAATAACGATGTTCACATTCCTCAGAACCAAGTTGTAAAAATCAGATGTTTGAAATATTATAACATGCTTTGACAGGTTTTAGGCTTAGTCGTGCTGACTGTACATGAGGACATTTGTTAGCGACATTTTCTTCAGGGTCAGTCGGGATATCCAAATCAGATCTGCGTTTGTTCGTTGATTCCTTGCTTTACTGCTTCATGGATAATGGGTTTCTATTCAAGACTAAGGAAGATAAAGTTTATATGTTGATGTCTTTGACTCTCTGTTTGTTTCAGTTTGAGAATAGGCTTTGTGACGGGTCCCAAGCCTCTGGTGGACAGGGTGGTGCTGCACATCCAGGCCTCCACCATGCACACCAGCACCTTCACACAGGTAAATGAAGCCATCGCTTCACACCGCCACACCCTGCTCAATACACATTCTGCATTACTGGTTTGGATGCAAACATATTGATGCTTTTAACTGTGTGAAGTCATTTATTCGTTCTAAACTACAGCAGATAGAACCTCACAGATACATAGCATTTTATGGCTAACGTCTTTGATGCTTTCAACCTCCAGCAACCTGACATTTACCATGCAGCATTAAGCTCACAACAGGGAGGTTCAGCATGCTCTCTCCACACACACAGTGACACCTCAGACTTGTACACACTGCCAGGAGCGGTGTTGAAGCCAAGCGAGTCTTTGTGCTGCGTCTGGATCGGCAGCAGCTGCAAAGGAGGGAGATTAATTAGGATCTGCTGTCAACCTCGCCTCTGCGTTTTTATATAATCTGCACTAAAACAGAGGCAATAACTCGGAGATATTTAAAATTAGAACCATGAAAGGAGAAAGCATTTCAAGTCAAAGAAAGAAAGGTGCGTCACACTCCAGATGTACAGATCTGAGGGGGGATTTTATACCTTAGGGTCATTTTACAGTACAATAATGTTCTGATCTGTTCCAGTCATTACAGTATATAACATGTAACCTGCTTCCTCACAGCTCATGGTGTCTCAGTTGCTGCACAGCTGGGGACAAGATGGCTTCCTTCAACACATAGACGGGTATGCCACTTCCCCTAATGCAGCCGCACCTGCTCGACATTACTAGTTCGACTGGTTAAGAAAGATATTTGATATCGAACACATGATACAGTCATCACTTGGCCACACTGGCAGCGGTGCATGACACAGTTGTATCTCCTCCCACAGGGTGATTGAGTTCTACAGGAAGCAACGCAATGCCATGATCAGCTCTGCAGACAAGTGGCTCAAAGGTGTGTGAACAAGTCAAAACACGTAATAATAATAATAATAATAGACAGTGCATAGTTCATATTTGGTTAAATTGATGAGAATCTTTTGAAACGTGATGAATATAAGAGGTGTTCTTTTTTTTTCTGTGTGTGTGTGTGTGTGTGTGTGTGTGTGTGTGTGTGTGTGTGTGTGTGTGTGTGTGTGTGTGTGTGTGTGTGTGTGTGTGTGTGTGTGTGTGTGTGTGTGTGTGTTAGATGTAGCAGAGTGGCACGCCCCATCAGCAGGCATGTTCCTGTGGATCAAGCTAAAGGGCATAGCCGATACCCAGCAGCTCATTATGGAGAAAGCCTTGGAGAAAGAGGTCAGCATACTCCCTGTTGAATCTCACTCTAACCCTCACACATTAATCCTCTTTGTGGTTTAATATGAGACAAAACGCAATTTACTTTCTGCACTATAATATCAGTACCCAGAATGCATTCCATTGCTTCTTTCTGCTCGGTTAGTCTCTGTCTGTCAGCAGATGTTTTGCATAAGGGGCAAAGCAGGTGTTGTGTCTGAACAGTGTGTAGGGTGCTGCTGCTGAGCTGCCATTGTGAGAAGGGCTAGAGTGTTTCATCTCCCACACAGAGCATCTAAATCCCTGCTAGCAAATAGCTGATTAGCCAAGTTTAAACAAGAGTGGGTATTATCAGGATGTTCCTAGGTTTCAGGATATTATAAACTACCACACATAGCTACAGGGGGAAACACAACTCCTGTTGGGTTAGCTTAGCTTAGCACAAAGACAAGGAGAAACAGTTATTTTTGATCCATCCAAATGAAAACTAATAAAAAAGCCAGCACTGCTAAAGCTAACTAATTAACATGGTATTTCTGAGTTGTTTGATCTGTATACAAATCAAGTGTAAAAACAATTTAGGAGTTATGTGTTGGACTATTATTGGCCAGTTAAAATATTTCTGCATTTGCAATTAATTGAACACACAAACAACTGCTGATTAAATTAGAAAATAATGTTTTTGTTCCCATAAAAATAGGATTAATCAATATTTACCTGTCTGTTTAGCCTCCGAGAATAATCTGCCATTAAACTAAGACCACATTGATTAACATAAGTCATGTGTGTGTTTGTGCGCTGTAGGTGCTGCTGGTTCCCGGGGGGGTCTTCATGATCAACAGCAGTGACCCCTGCCCCTACGTTAGAGCTGCCTTTTCTCTCTCCACACCCGAGCAGATCGACGAGGTACACACACACACACACACACACACACACACACACACACACACACACACACACACACACACACACACACACACACACACACACACACACACACACACACACACACACACACACACACACACACACACACACTACACACACTACTACACTACTACTACTACTACACTACTACTACTACACACTACTACTACACTACTACTACTACTACTACTACTACTACTACTACTACGTACGTACGTACGTACGTACGTACGTACTACTACTACTACTACTACTACGTACGTAACGTAACGTAACGTAACGTAACGTAACGTAACGTAACGTAACGTAACGTACGTACGTACGTACTACTAACGTAACGTAACGTAACGTAACGTACGTACGTACGTACGTACGTACGTACTACT